GTTGATACAGTGCCCAGCTGCAGCACAGCTTCAACCAGCTGACCTCTTGGGCTCACGCTGGTCTACACTTAGACCGTGCCCAGGGAGTACACAGGTAAGTCAAAAATCTGTCTGAGGTGTCTGTCGTTTAACACCTGTCTCTGTGTGTCTCTGTGTGCCTCTGTGTGTGTCTCTCTCTCTCTGTGTGTGTGTGTGTGTCTGTGTGTCTGTGTGTCTGTGTACGCCCACAGGGGAACTCATTGGGGTGGAGTACCTGTTCTCCCAGACGGGCAGACAGGACCTGGACGATCCTGGCGCTCCAGGAGTGACTGATGAGGAGGAAGTGGGAGGGGGCAGTGATGGGGGGTTCGAGGAGATTCGTCTCCTCGAACAACACGGTGCTCTCCTTCAGTCCTCAAACCTTGATAAATTACCTTAATGATGAACTGATTAACAACATTGGTGATCAGTGCTCTGTCAAATCACTAATCAATTAATAATAGTTGTTTCCTCACTAAACCTTAATCTTTTTAACACCTTTTTAGAATTGATATAATCTAATTAATAAAATCTATAAAATCCCCAAGCAACCATATTAACTACTCATTGTAGTGCCAATTCTTTCCTATTAAGATTAATTTATATTTTACACAGAATACATTTCAAACTCAGGAATGTAACTCATTATTGTTTATAGTCAATAAAACTTTAAACAGACACATTTTTAAAATGTGGAAAAGGTTTAGATTAAACATGAAACATTTCTTTTTGACCACGTACTTTATTCACAATATCTCCTGCTACCACTCTGATCATATTCCCTTCCTCAATGCTCCTCTAGGAAACAATGAACGGTCATCAATGACAGAGAACATATGAACTGAATCATTATTCTGTGTCAGCTTCACGCTCAGAAGGAAATATCACGACTCATCATCGTGGTTAGCGAGACCAAACACTTTAGAAACACATTTCTCAAGTCAGAAACTATAGAAATGATCCCTGAAAGTATAGTCTTAATGTGATTGAGGGTGAACACAGCAGGTGATTCACAGGACTACCGTTCTCACTCAGGGTTGTTCTCTGCTGTCTCCTCCAGTTGCTGTGTGACAACATAACACGGCCAATCACTGTACTGACTGACTGACTGACTGTGACAGCACACAGATAGAGGAGAACAGCAGAACTGAGTGATGATTAAGAAAAAGCTTGTATCAAAGTAAAATACTCATTCCTCTCACTGACTGGAAGAAGAAAGGCTGTTAAAATCTCAATAAGCATTCATTTTACTATAAAGACTTATTTTTTATTTTACAATAAAGGCTGCATGAGATCATTTTAGGCCACTGATCTATTTGATAAATGATCTAAATGATTAACTGATTAACAACTTTGGTAATCACTGCTCTGTCAACCCACTAATCAATTATAGTTGTTCCCTCTCTAAACCTTAATCTCTTTAACCCTTTTTTTAAATTTAAATATAATCAAATTATTAAAATCTGCAATATAATAATGATGGCAGTGCGACACTGAAGCTGAACTACAACTCCATAGAACTACAGCTTTAAAGCTTGCTTTGTTGTGAAAAAAAAATCAAATGACATAAAACATCCGGCAACTGGTTCATTGCCTGAATGAATCAGCTGACTGGATCGCGTCCAATAAGGTGATTCACTGGCACTGCCTTGTCTCGATTCTGACAGGCGACAGGTTGAGACGGTTTGGAATTTGAGCACCTTTAACACTTTATAACCGCTCTAAACAATGCACAATTTATGGGTTGTAGTAGTAGGTGCGTTGTTGCTGTTGAGTTGGTATTGCGTTTGTATTGGATCATAATGGAGCCAGCCAAGAAGAGAGGTCGTTCTGACATGTGGGTCAAGTGGTTCAGCGATTCACCAAAGCTTAATTTGCCCATCACTACCATCAATAACAAGCACCACACACCTACATTAAAGTCTATGTCTTCTGTTAGAATAAAAATTATCTATGATATATTTAATATGTCTTTTTAATATAATTAACAAACAGACCTTAATAGGCCTTGTAGGTCAGGTCACAATGAACACCGAACCCCACCAGCGTGTCGTCCAGGCCCCTCGTGGTCTGGGGACTGCCCTCGACCATCCTACGCCTGTCGATGGCGTGGTTGTGCACCATGAGGGCATTCTGCTTACTACTGCCCCCTTTGTCTCTCTCTCCCTCGTGGGACACAATGATGTTCACGGCGTATCCCAAGTCGTTTCCGAGCAGCCACCGGAACGTCTGACGTGGTCCCCGTACTGATCGGTGGGGTCGCCTGCCTACTTCACCACCCTGTCCTTTGCCTCACAGCGCACCAGTTTGGGGTTCTTAAACTTAAGTGGCAGTGGCAGAGACCCCCTTCTGGTCGTGGGTAAAGGCCAGCGCCTCCTGAGAGGCCCGCAGGGTCAGGTTGGAGGTCGCTGGCTCAAAGCAGAAAACGGGCTGCATTTTCTAGAAAGACAAGAAATAAGATTTAAATCACTAATCTGCTAATACACATGCACTGTTTACATCCTACTAATAGTCTATTACTGTACACAGTAATACTGTGCCCATTCATTAACATACGTTAAACATCGGTTAAGGTTTAGTATTAAATAAATAAGTCAGTTAAATGGCCAGTTGACAGGGGGAAATAATGACAGTAATTATGATACTGAACAGTGTATATTACTGTTTGAGTGTGAAGCATGCAGTTAATAATGATTTAGTTCACTGTTTTTTGTCATTGATGATCACCTCTATCTGTGTGCTGTCACAGTCAGTCAGTCAGTACAGTGATTGGCTGTGTTATGTTGTCACACGGCAACTGGAGGAGACAGCAGAGAGGAACCCTGAGTGAGAACGGTAGTCCTGTGGATGACCTGCTGTGTTCACCCTCAATTGATTTAAGACTATACTTTCAGGGATTATTTCTATAGTTTCTGACTTGAGAAATGTGTTTCTAGAGTGTTTGGTGTCGTTAACCACCATGATGAGTCGTGATATTTCTTTCTGAGCGTGAAGCTGACACAGAATAATGATTCACTTCATGTGTTCTCTCTCATTGATGACCGTTCATTGTTTCCTAGAGGAGCAATGAGGAAGGGAATATGATCAGAGTGGTGTTGGTTGATATGTCAAAAAATTACATGAATTTAAATGAATCTTGCAATAAATAACATCATTTGCATGGAGTGATAATGTTGGGAAACCATGAATAGCGTGTTTAACATCGGTTAAGGTTTAGTATTGAATAAATAAGTCAATTAAATGGCCAGTTGACAGGGGGAAATAATGACATTAATTATGATACTGAACAGTGTATATTACTGTTTGAGTGTGAAGCATGCAGTTAATAATGATTTAGTTCACTGGTTTTTGTCATTGATGATCATTCTGAGTGTATTTTGATACTTGCATCCAGCAGGTTACCTTCTTTTCTGACTGGACGAGACACAGAAACTGGAGGAGGGTTTTGTTGGCAGAGAGGAACCCTGAGTGACATTAACTTTACAGTGAATGACCTGCTGTGTTCACCCTCCTTCACATTAAGACTATACTTTCAGGGATCATTTCTATAGTTTCTGACTTGAGAAATGTGTTTCTAAAGTGTTTGGTCTCGCTAACCACGATGATGAGTCGTGATGTTTCCTTCTGAGCGTGAAGCTGACAGAGAATAATGATTCAGTTCATATGTTCTCTGCCATTGATGACCGTTCATTGTTTCCTAGAGGAGCATTGAGGAAAGGAATATGATCAGAGTGGTTTTCTACAACTTGGTTAAATTAAAAATTATGATATATTAGTGTAGTTGATATAGAATTAAGATTAGAAGGTAGAATTCCAGTGTAACTTCCAGGTACTTCCATTTCACTATATTTTCTAACATTTTATACACAACATAATTATTAGTAAACATAGTTGACAGATGTATATATTGTAAATATGAGTAAAGTAATCATTGTGGTTTCAAAACTACCATTGTAAAAAAACAACAACTCTATTTTGAATATATATTGACGTAACTTGTGTATTTTTAAACATAAATTAATGACATAATAGTGTAGAGGTTCTGCCAATCAGAACATTTCTCTGCCTGGAATAATGCAGACTATATTGTACTATCCAAAACAAATGAGAAGAACGATCCAATTTTACAGTGTCATTAATGTAAACTTGGTCTGTAATATTTCTTCTAGTTAGTGAGTAAAAGTAGTGTCTTAACTTTGACTAAATGTAATCATTGTAACTTTTTATAACTTTTCTTACTTTACTTAAAACCAAAGTTTTTCTCTATTTCAGTGCTGCCTTTCTCTCCTGTCTGTGTGCTCTCTTTATCACAGCGGTGCTCTCAGTCTCGCAGTGATTGGCTGTGCTATGCTGTCTCATTTACATAAACAGATATGACTGGAGGAGACAGCAGAGAGGAACCCTGAGTGAGAACGGTAGTCCTGTGAATGACATGCTGTGTTCACCCTCAATCTCACTAAGACTATACTTTCAGGGATCATTTCTATAGTTTCTGACTTGAGAAATGTGTTTCTAAAGTGTTTGGTCTCGCTAACCACGATGATGAGTCGTGATATTTCCTTCTGAGCGTGAAGCTGACAGAGAATAATGATTCAGTTCATATGTTCTCTGTCATTGATGACCGTTCATTGTTTCCTAGAGGAGCATTGAGGAAGGGAATATGATCAGAGTGGTAGTTAATCATGTTAAAAAGTAAATCTGAACTGTTACATTATAATAGCAGGTATAGATCATGAAGGGGTGGTTAATGTTTAATCTTGATTTAATTACTTTTCAAACTTTGACTAAATGTGGTAATTGTAATTTTCTATATTTGTTCTTCTCTTATATTACTGAAATGAACAATATGTAAAATATTTACTATATTAAAAAGATAAAATTACAGTAAACATGTTAAATTGAAATACTGTCTGCTCTGACAATAATTTTCTTTATGTTTTGTCCTGTGTGACTGCGCCTGTTTGGACAAACCGGGTTGCCAGGTATGAACCTAATGTCTGCGTGAACACAGCGAGCTGCAGCCATGGCAGCAATGAGAGTATCCGCAGAGATAATGTTGGAGTCTGTCCGACCTAAACAGCCTCTGCATCTCCATGACCAGAGACGTAGTCAAACATGGGTAAATGTTGGAGATACATTTGAAAGATGGAGACAGCTTTGTATCAGAAAGGACTTCAGGACTTATGTGGAGCTCGGGGTGGTGTGTCGGTGTGTGGAGATGTTTTTGCTGAACAGAACCGCTGTGAGACGTTAGTGAAAGCATTTTAATATTAGTTAAAATACGGTTTATTTCTCTGATTCATCGGCTGTGTTACCGGCGCTCTCTCTGCTCCTCAGTCCTCATCATTGACAGTATGGTCCTCATCATTGACAGTATATATATATATGGTCCTCACTCATTCAAACAAACCAAAGGAAACTTCTGGGGGTCGCTTTTTTGGAGCACAGACCGCAACCAGACACAGACGTGTACATGGAATAAACCAAGCGAGGACACAGTTAGGAGACTATTATAGTTTGGCCCGTGAACTGTGCCTGATAGCACCAGTTTCACTCATATTGCATGCGGACTGTGGAGCAGTTGGACCGCTATCAGGCACACAGAGGAGTGTATGGGACGGACCGCCCTGTTTACTACCTTGACAGGAATATACAACAGAAACACAATTATGACTGTAGATTGACTCAATTGGCAAATGTGATTTATAGTATATAGAGTAACATAACTCATGCCCATCCCTAGCTGCTAGCTATTTATCTATGTTATCCTATAGAAACCATCTGTAATCTAAAGTGTACAGACCAGCTGCTTTTAGTCAATGATTTTGTAGATGAATGCAACAACAAGCATATTTATTCATCAACACAGGAAGTCATAAACTCAGATGAAATGATCAACTTCATGGCAGAAAGGGTTTATGTTTATTTATTTTTCCAGGAGCTGTGGCTGGGACTGCTCACCATATGACAAAGGAACACAACATGACTGCATTAACACAATGGGACACAGTACTGGCTCATAGGAGGCTCATGAGGCTCTGACAGACATTATCAGGAACAAGCAATGGCTGAAGTGAGTTCATAAGTACCTGAACTCATTTGTGTGTTTGTTTTTGAACAATGAGAATAAAAAGCTAGATAAATGCCCATGACTGTATGTTTTCACAGATCTCCAGCTGATCTTGAGTCTGTGCAGAATCACACACTGATGTATGATTTAGCTCTGCAGCCTTTGAGGCCAGAACCCTGCTCACAGCCCTGGACTACAACGACCATAAGGACCAATCAGACCGGACGAAACCTGATGGAAGCAAACAGTGAGTTGGATTGTTTTTAGGCCATATTAAGGTGCTTGCTGCACAATATAATGTATCTTATTTATATAATCTAGTGGAGACCTAAAGAGGAGAGGGTGGTCTTATTCTCCACCTGTTTCTTTCCTACATCAGCTCTTTGCTAAGAACTAGTCCACAGCACAGTACAACACCACAATTTCTGTCTAATTATTCTCAACGCTGCCGTCTTCCAGACAGACTGATGAACAGCAATTTCTACTGGAGTCAGAGCCTCGAACCTGTAGCTACAGTCACTCTATAATCCTTTTGTTCTTTATTGTATTCAGTAACTGTTTATATCCATATTCTCACTTTCTGCATTACTTTTACAGTAAGGTCATTACATTGCCTTGAGTTATATTGTAAAACATTATGGTGAAAATTACTTGAATCTGGAAACTACAATAGCGAGTACTGAAATCTTTGATTACTATATTTTATTATTGTTGCTCTATTATTATTATAACTTTTATTGTTGCTATCATTAGTTTAGTCATATACTATGTACAATGGGTAGGTTTAAGACATTTTTCACTTATGACTATTGTAACTCGTGTTTTTCACGACCATTATCAATAACTCATCATTTCATTACAATGCTGTCTAATCCCTTTTGTGAGTATGGACATCTGCCTGTGATGCTCTGTAAATAGGACATTTATACATGATTAATAAAGTAGTTGATGGCTTTTAATGTGATCCTTCTTTCATCAACTCATAACGCTCACCTTTACTGATGGGTTCATTTTAAAGTAATAATTATTACAGCATTATTTTAATAAATACCTCAACTACAAAAACAAACAATATGATATAAACATGAATCAGCTTAAACTCTAATTGTAATAATCGTCGGTATAACATTAATAATGTTTATTTTAAATGTACAAACAGTGAAGTGTTTTGATGACCTGATGATCTACAAAGGGAGAAGGTCTTGAACTGTAGGTTCAGTGTCCTCAACCTGGAAACCCAGGGGAGACAACTTGCTACAATGTTATGAATTTGGACTACAGTACCCATTTTAAACATGTGCTGTCAATCTTACAAATAGATCCTTTAAAACCAAAGTTTTTCTCTATCCCAGTGCTGCCTTTCTCTCCTGTCTGTGTGCTCTCTTTATCACAGCGGTGCTCTCAGAGTCTCGCAGTGATTGGCTGTGCTATGCTGTCTCATTTACATAAACAGATATGACTGGAGGAGACAGAAACTGGAGGAGACAGCAGAGAGGAACCCTGAGTGAGAACGGTAGTCCTGTGAATGACATGCTGTGTTCACCCTCAATCACACTAAGACTATACTTTCAGGGATCATTTCTATAGTTTCTGACTTGAGAAATGTGTTTCTAAAGTGTTTGGTCTCGCTAACCACGATGATGAGTCGTGATATTTCCTTCTGAGCGTGAAGCTGACAGAGAATAATGATTCAGTTCATATGTTCTCTGTCATTGATGACCGTTCATTGTTTCCTAGAGGAGCATTGAGGAAGGGAATATGATCAGAGTGGTAGCAGGAGATATTGTGAATAAATAAAGTGGTCAAAAAGAATTATTTCATGTTTAATCTAAACCTTTTCCACATTTAAAAAATGTGTCTGTTTAAAGTTTTATTGACTATAAACAATAATGAGTTACATTCCTGAGTTTGAAATGTATTCTGTGTTTTGTAAAAAAAATAATGAAAAAATATAAATGAATCTTAATAGGAAAGAATTGACACTACAATGAGTAGTTAATATGGTTGCTTGGGGATTTTATAGATTTTATTAATTAGATTATATCAATTCTAAAAAAGTGTTAAAAAGATTAAGGTTTAGTGAGAAAACAACTATTATTAATTGATTAGTGATTTGACAGAGCACTGATCACCAATGTTGTTAATCAGTTCATCATTTAGGTCATTTATCAAATAGATCAGTGGCCTAAAGTTGTCTCAGGCAGCCTTTATGGTAAAAAAACAATAAGACTTTACAGTATCATTAATGTTTATTGGGACATTAGCCATTATCAGATGGAGTTGTTCCTCTGATGTTCATGAGCTCTTCTCTAGTGAAAGAGCTCCGGGTATCACAGCAGAAAACTGAATTGGAAACAAAACAAGAAAAAACAATGTACACACTGAGGAGACCGTTCGTGGCGCCATCTTGTATTTTAATTTAAAACACTTAAATCAGTAATAATACTAAACCCTTTAATTTCTGGAATACCATCATTTCACATTATGTTTCATTTTCTCAATAAACAACCGAACCGTGACAGTTGTGTCCATCTCAGTTATTAAAGTTAGAAATCATGAAGCCAGAGGAGCCATCCAACACAACTCTGAGCCGAACAATCTAAATGAGAAACGCTTCACGAATTTGCGTCATCCTTGCGCCTATCGATTTCAGAGGCTGTTATTGGCTCATGTACAAATGAAACAGGCCAATGGGGTTGTCTTGACCCGCACCCATTGGTCGGTTTCATTTAGGTGCTGTGCTGTGATTCGACAGCTCGTTGCATAACCCGCCTACCCCACAGCCACGTTCAGTGTCATTATCATTGAGCGGACGGACATGTAGGTAAGACCAACTTTATTGTTTGTAAAAGTATGTGCTACAGCGAAAAGTTAGCTAATATATAAGAAAATAATCAGTCAGCAGTGAAATAGCGAGCCAATTTAACGTTAGCGTGGCAAAGTTAAGCCTGTCAGTGTCATTCCTGATCGAGGTGAAATGTGTTATAAATGTGTAATAATATTCCGACTACTGGGTTTACTTGTTGAGACCTAGGATATTGTACTGCTACTGTGTGGAGTCGAAATTTGAAGTTTAACTGTGCTTTAGATGCTGTTTAAAAACGTGATGAGCCAACTTGGCTCACACGACGCTGAAGTTGGCTTCCGATTCGGCACTTAAGGGGAAAGTTAAGGGGAAATTAACTTATTGTGCAGTGCGACTGTTTGTCCACTGATTGTCTGTTTTTTGTAACACTTCTTGATGTGAAAACGTTTTAGACAGTTTAGGTAAGACATCAGCTTTGCCTGTCACCTACGATTGTATCTGTGAAACTTTTATTTTATTTGTGAAAATGCTAAAGGGGAGATTTCACCGTTTTTGTTTTACACCAAGACCTCATTAGACCAGTTCCAGATCAAAAACCACTGTACCTAGACCTCTCAAAACTGGACTGGATTGATGTACAGACCCTGAAGATTCATAAAAACACCGTTGAGGGAGGAGAGAGGTCGGCGCTGCGTTGATACAGTGCCCAGCTGCAGCACAGCTTCAACCAGCTGACCTCTTGGGCTCACGCTGGTCTACACGTAGACCGTGCCCAGGGAGTACACAGGTAAGTCAAAAATCTGTCTGAGGTGTCTGTCGTTTAACACCTGTCTCTGTGTGTCTCTGTGTGCCTCTGTGTGTCTCTCTCTCTCTCTCTGTGTGTGTGTGTGTGTGTGTGTGTGTGTGTGTGTCTGTGTACGCCCACAGGGGAACTCATTGGGGTGGAGTACCTGTTCTCCCAGACGGGCAGACAGGACCTGGACGATCCTGACGCTCCAGGAGTGACTGATGAGGAGGAAGTGGGAGGGGGCAGTGATGGGGGGTTCGAGGAGATTCGTCTCCTCGAACAACACGGTGCTCTCCTTCAGTCCTCAAACCTTGATAAATGACCTAAATGATGAACTGATTAACAACATTGGTGATCACTGCTCTGTCAAATCACTAATCAATTAATAATAGTTGTTTCCTCACTAAACCTTAATCTTTTTAACACCTTTTTAGAATTGATATAATCTAATTAATAAAATCTATAAAATCCCCAAGCAACCATATTAACTACTCATTGTAGTGCCAATTCTTTCCTATTAAGATTAATTTATATTTTACACAGAATACATTTCAAACTCAGGAATGTAACTCATTATTGTTTTTAGTCAATAAAATTTTGAACAGACACATTTTTAAAATGTGGAAAAGGTTTAGATTAAACATGAAACATTTCTTTTTGACCACGTACTTTATTCACAATATCTCCTGCTACCACTCTGATCATATTCCCTTCCTCAATGCTCCTCTAGGAAACAATGAACGGTCATCAATGACAGAGAACATATGAACTGAATCATTATTCTGTGTCAGCTTCACGCTCAGAAGGAAATATCACGACTCATCATCGTGGTTAGCGAGACCAAACACTTTAGAAACACATTTCTCAAGTCAGAAACTATAGAAATGATCCCTGAAAGTATAGTCTTAATGTGATTGAGGGTGAACACAGCAGGTGATTCACAGGACTACCGTTCTCACTCAGGGTTCCTCTCTGCTGTCTCCTCCAGTTGCTGTGTGACAACATAACACGGCCAATCACTGTACTGACTGACTGACTGTGACAGCACACAGATAGAGGAGAACAGCAGAACTGAGTGATGATTAAGAAAAAGCTTGTATCAAAGTAAAATACTCATTCCTCTCACTGACTGGAAGAATAAAGGCTGTTAAAGTCTCAATAAACATTCATTTTACTATAAAGACTTATTTTTTATTTTATAATAAAGGCTTCATGAGATCATTTTAGGCCACTGATCTATTTGATAAATGATCTAAATGATTAACTGATTAACAACTTTGGTAATCACTGCTCTGTCAACCCACTAATCAATTAGTTATAGTTGTTCCCTCTCTAAACCTTAATCTCTTTAACCCTTTTTTAAATTCAAATATAATCAAATTATTAAAATCTGCAAAATAATAATGATGGCAGTGCGACAGTGAAGCTGAACTACAACTCCATAGAACTACAGCTCTAAAGCTTGCTTTGTTGCGAAAAAAATCAAATGACATAAAACATCCTGCAACTGGTTCATTGCCTGAATGAATCAGCTGACTGGATCGCGTCCAATAAGGTGATTCACTGGCACTGCCTTGTCTCGATTCTGACAGGCGACAGGTTGAGACGGTTTGGAATTTGAGCACCTTTAACACTTTATAACCGCTCTAAACAATGCATAATTTGTGGGTTGTAGTAGTAGGTGCGTTGTTGCTGTTGAGTTGTTGGTATTGCGTTTGTATTGGATCATAATGGAGCCAGCCAAGAAGAGAGGTCGTTCTGACATGTGGGTCAAGTGGTTCAGCGATTCACCAAAGCTTAATTTGCCCATCACTACCATCAATAACAAGCACCACACACCTACATTAAAGTCTATGTCTTCTGTTAGAATAAAAATGATCTATGATATATTTAATATGTCTTTTTAATATAATTAACAAACAGACCTTAATAGGCCTTGTAGGTCAGGTCACAATGAACACCGAACCCCACCAGCGTGTCGTCCAGGCCCCTCGTGGTCTGGGGACTGCCCTCGACCATCCTACGCCTGTCGATGGCGTGGTTGTGCACCATGAGGGCATTCTGCTTACTACTGCCCCCTTTGTCTCTCTCTCCCTCGTGGGACACAATGATGTTCACGGTGTATCCCAAGTCGTTTCCGAGCAGCCACCGGAACGTCTGACGTGGTCCCCGTACTGATCGGTGGGGTCGCCTGCCTACTTCACCACCCTGTCCTTTGCCTCACGGCGCACCAGTTTGGGGTTCTTAAACTTAAGTGGCAGTGGCAGAGACCCCCTTCTGGTCGTGGGTAAAGGCCAGCGCCTCCTGAGAGGCCCGCAGGGTCAGGTTGGAGGTCGCTGGCTCAAAGCAGAAAATGGGCTGCATTTTCTAGAAAGACAAGAAATAAGATTTAAATCACTAATCTGCTAATACACATGCACTGTTTACATCCTACTAATAGTCTATTACTGTACACAGTAATACTGTGCCCATTCATTAACATACATTAAACATCGGTTAAGGTTTTGTATTAAATAAATAAGTCAGTTAAATGGCCAGTTGACAGGGGGAAATAATGACAGTAATTATGATACTTAACAGTGTATATTACTGTTTGAGTGTGAAGCATGCAGTTAATAATGATTTAGTTCACTGTTTTTTGTCATTGATGATCACCTCTATCTGTGTGCTGTCACAGTCAGTCAGTCAGTACAGTGATTGGCTGTGTTATGTTGTCACACGGCAACTGGAGGAGACAGCAGAGAGGAACCCTGAGTGAGAACGGTAGTCCTGTGGATGACCTGCTGTGTTCACCCTCAATTGGTTTAAGACTATACTTTCAGGGATTATTTCTATAGTGTCTGACTTGAGAAATGTGTTTCTAGAGTGTTTGGTCTCGTTAACCACGATGATGAGTTGTGATATTTCTTTCTGAGCGTGAAGCTGACACAGAATAATGATTCACTTCATGTGTTCTCTGTCATTGATGACCGTTCATTGTTTCCTAGAGGAGCATTGAGGAAAGGAATATGATCAGAGTGGTGTTGGTTGATATGTCAAAAAATTACATTAACTTAAATGAATCTTGCAATAAATAACATCATTTGCATGGAGTGATAATGTTGGGAAACCATGAATAGCGTGTTTAACATCGGTTAAGGTTTAGTATTGAATAAATAAGTCAATTAAATGGTTAGT